TATGATTTATGATTTTTGGGATACTCTTCTATGTGGTTATGACTTTTGGGAATCTTTGTTTTGTAAAACTTATGAATCTGAGTGGGTTTAAAAAATGAAAATTTTTTGTTTTGATTTTAGGATGTTACAAGTTGGTATCAGAGCCCTGGTTTGAAAAAATTGGAGGAACATTTGTGTGAATCTAGACTCAAGCTGAGGATCTGTAAAAAATTTCAAACTATTTTAAAACAAAATTTCTAAAAGTAACCAAAGAAGGATGGATGTGTACGATCAGCCGGAGCAAGAAAGTTTTCCTAATGATACCCACAATGTTATTTTCTTATGTTGATTATGATGGAATTGCATGCTAATTGTAGCCTATGGATCTTTAGGAATTGCATGATAGAATCGCATGATTTATGATACCGAATAGCCTAGATGATTTTCTTGTATACTAAATGGTAATTACATCATTATTGTAGTTGCTTAGTGCACGCAACATAGTTGTACATAACCAAGATTTTATAGCCTGAGAATTGTGATTTAGCTTTATTCCATGTTCGTTAACCAAAAAGCCTTAACATACCTTTTTCATAAGAATGTTTTTTCATAAATCTTACGAATCTTACTAATAAGCTCGTTAACCAAAAATCCTAACATACCTTTTCTATAAGAATGTTTTTTCATAAATCTTACGAATCTTACTAATAGTTTTTTTATTTTTCGTTCGAAAATAAATGATATAACATTATTGAATTAAGAAATAACTTTAATTATATATGATTGGTGAAATTTACAAACAAATCAAAAACAATTACAATAACTTTTTTTTTTTTTAATTTTACCGATGTTAATTTGATCCATGGGTAGGGAGGCTTTAAGGGGCCTAGGGGGGCCATGGCCCCCCAACTTTTTAGCCTACTAATACCAGTTGTATGTATGTATAGCCACTGTAGTTTCACTTGGAGAAACCCGCTGCATGCATATCTAGTTTCTTTTATCCTTCATCTATCCATAGACATTTATGCCATTAACGAGTCTCTTTTTTGAGAGTTTTTGATACGCCATTCATGGCAGATCTAAAAAGAAAAGAAGTGAGGAAGAAACTGTTTATATCCTTTTCTTCTATTTATAATTATAATAAACAAATATAAAACACCTGATAACTCTATTTTATTGAGAGGGAAACAAACACATATCACAAAATTTAATTTTTTTAATCTAATGAAAACCACAATCAATAATAATTTAAATCTTTGAAAATCAAATCTTATCAAATCTCAAAATATAAATATCGGAAGATCTAATAAATCATATACAACCCACAAACAGATAGCAATTTCAATCTCTCAAATTGACAAAACCTAGGCAAAAACCACATGGTCGCCTTCTCGTGCTGTTTCCAATTCACCTCTCCGACTCTTACAGTCTCAAGATCTCCTCATTGCCCTTCACAGACCAAGTCGTCGATCACACTACGATACAACTTGAGACAAGTGTCTCAGTCTTTTGGATTTCATGGTATGTACATAGCCATATATCTACTCTCACAAGTTTGTACACCGTCTTACTATCCTTATCTCTCATTTAGCTCCCTCTTTCTCTAAATGTGATAATGAAAGTATATCAAAGTAACTTTTCAATATGAGGAGTTAGAATACAGTGGGTCGTCACTCTCTCATCTTTACTGGTATTGTCATTTCCAATGTGTCCTCACCTTTATTTTCTTTATTTTGGTTATAGACATTCATATAGTACATTAAATGAAGTACCAACCTAGGTTGGGAGGATATAAACTAGGGCTCTTTCATAGTCGAGCCAACTGTACTTGTTATTGCCCCGGTCTTATAACTTCTCCATTCTCTCTAGAGCATCACAGTTAAGCAATACGTTAGGCTAGATATGGTCAAAGGGTATATACGTGGGCACAGGGAACTCTAGGTCGATAGCTCGACCTATACCACTAATAAGCCCCCTTATGTAAATTTCTCGTGTGGGCTTTTTCGTAGGGAGTCACACTTGTCGAGGAAGAACGTAGGGAAATAAGGAGTTATTGTAGAAACAATAAAATAAAGAAAAATAGATTCAAAACAGTTTAGTTGAATCAAACAGTAAGAACAACGATTGAATGTGATTGAATGGGTGCCAAACGCTTTATTATCAATATCGTAGAAGAGTTCGATAAGAACTTCTCTATAAAGATATGGAGGGCTAAAAAAACATTAACCCTAAAACGATACCTATATATATATATATATATATATATATATATATATATATATATATATATATATATATATTATATATATATATATATATATATATATATATATATATATAGTCTAACCCTAGCACCATAAAGACGGATGGATAGACCCATTTCGATAATAATAAAGACTAAATACATGCATAATTAATTTGACACAATACAATAAATAACCCAACAATCTCCCCCTTTGTGTCAACTAAGGAAGGAAATTCTTCAGTGTTGTTGGCGCTTCTGAACCTTGAATAGTTTCGGCATTAGACCAAGCAAGGTCTTGCGAACCTGAATGTACCATTTGATCATGTCTGCGAAGCTGTAACGACACAAAATTCAAAAAAAAAAAATTCATTTAAATCATATAACTATCATATCACATTTCATAAAACTCGATTATTGGCTTACAAAACATAATCCCTTATTAATTACTCAATAATCCAGGATTCTCGAAATATAATTCTTTCTCTGGTGTGTACAATCAAGCCAGTGTCGTTCCGAGATACTAAGAAAACCTGAAACACATAACATATAACACAGTAAGCACGAAGCTTAGTGAGTTCCCCAAAATACCACATACAACACATACGCCACTCGAGGCTATATCTCAGTACGACCTTCCAGTCGATGTGTCTCAGCGAGACCCTCCAATCTCGTAACTCGTTGGACCCTATGGTCCGGTCTATATTGTTGGACCCTCCGGTCCGGTCTATATCGTTGGACCCTCCGGTCTGGTCTATATCGTTGGACCCTTCGTTGCGGGCTATAAACTCGCATAGTATAAATCACAAAGACATAATGCATAGCATGTCACATACAATATGATAACATAATACTCAATGTAAGCACATAAGACCTTCCGGTCACACATAACTACCATTCAAGATAACGTATAGTGAGAAGACTCACCTCGGATGATGTCGGATATCCTCTCGTGCTCAATAACCCGACCTAGCCTCCTCCTATCAAATGATAACATCTCTAATCAATACTTTCTCTTGTCCTCATATCTAAAGAATGGGTAGAAGACCATTCTACCCTACCCTGACCTCTCTTAAATCAACTTGACTAAAACCCTTAGGTCAACTGAAGTCAACTCTAGTCAACGGTCAAACTTTGACCAGACTCATCGAGTGCACTCGGGTGACTCGGCGAGTCCACGTGTGTTCTCAGAATCCTCTTAAGGTCTCACTCGACTCGTCGAGCTAGCCTTTCACTCGATGGGTTACCACTGGACACGAATCGCGGGGTAACCCAACTCGACTCGTCGATTTCCCATATGGACTCGACGAGTTTCCTCCATGGCAACACTCAAATGACCTTTTGAGATCAGATCTTCTTCACTAACTTATAGATCTGACCTTCTAACACCCATTAATCGCATAAAGGATCAATCTTTAAGCTCATGCAACGCTTATATGTCCTTAAATGATGAAATAGCTCTTAAAATGGCAACCTAAATCCATAACCTAAAGGGACTGCATAAAGCTGGAAGGTTGGGACTCTCTGGACCTCTTAAGGTCTAGATCTAAGGCTTATTCCACATTGGGACCTCATATACTCCATATTCCTTTAAAGAAAAAAAGTCAAGAAACCCTAGATTCATGCAATCAACACCATACAGAAGGAAAGGTCCGATTTGTTACCTCAAAGTGAAGCTCTATGCTTCAAAGTCTCAGAACATCAACCCCCTTAGGCCCCTCTTGCTAGAACTCTCCTTCTCTTTGAAATGTCATGCCAAAAAAAGTTTCAAGATGGCTCTTCTTCACTCTCTAAGATGTCTGGTTCGAAAGGAGTCTCTCAAGGGTGCAGGTGGCTGCCACAGAAGGCCATAAGGTCCTTTAAATAGGTCCCAAACCCGAAAAATTAGGGTTTTTCCTTAACAGCACTGACGCGGCGAGTCAGATACCCGACTCGTCGCGTGTAATTCTTATTGAGATATGAGAAGTGACTCGACGAGTTGACGCCTCAACTCGTCGAGTCCCTTCATTAACTAGGTCACCGAGTCACGATCCTACTCGACGAGTTGAGGCGTCAACTCGTCGAGTCACTTCTCATATCTCAATAAGAATTACACAAATTGTCATGCTTGGAAATCCGGATGTTACAAAAGCATTCCTTGACGCCAGCATCTTTCGCTTTTCACTTTTCAGTTATTCCCAATACATAATTAAGACATGATGTGGAAAAAAGATGCTTGTTTGGTAAGCAGAATAAACACCTATGAACGCTCATACCATCTCTAGAACTTTGTTGAAACGCCACACTCCAATTATCTTTCTCAATTTTTCCCAGCCTCATCTTGCTGATGTCATTCAGAGCTTCTTTAGGTAGCATAATGGGTTTCTTTCGCGATCTGTACATCCACATTCCTAAGTTCTTGAATGTAAGAGACCAACATCCTTTTCAGATGTGCCTCGATGGGTTTGAATTTTTGTTCATCCTTTAATAAGATATGAAACATAGAAATCCAGTCGTATCATTTAAGGCACGGCAAGTCTGCAAGTGTAAACTCAAAAACTGAACTCTTTGCTCCATGGACAACTTTGAATGGAGCATTGATAAAGCTTTTAGTTTCAATCGGCCAGATGACTTTCACAAATGTAATTTCCATTGAGCTCCAATTTTGATACTGAGGCTTTACATGCTTGAGATAAAATAGGAAAAGCACTTAATTAACATCATTTTTCTGAAAATGGAGCTTTTTTATCTTTTCAAAACTGCGAAATAGGAACGCCTTCAGAGTTATTGGAAGGTCAAGCTACGAATCCAAAGTGTTCTCCAAATCAAACGAAACAACTGGCTCCAACCAGTAAGCACTTGGATTGTCGATATCTTCATTCATAATTCGCTCCATAGTCCAAGGAGGGAAAAGATACTTTTGGGTTTCCAGTGTTACTTGTGCATCACGAAGCTCTTTTTCACGAGCATCCGCTTCTTTTTCAATTGGCAGATTTTCATCAAGCTCTTTATCACGATACTTTCGATTGAGCTTTTCCCCTTCATCCTCTTCTTCTTCTTCATCACCATCGATCAACTTTCCTGTGCCTTTCGATCCTGAAGCTTCATTACCCTTCGTATCATTTGGATTCGGTTTCTGTTCATGCTCACCAGAACCACCAAATGGTTTCTTGACTTCTCCCCTTGTTTCGGAAGAAAGATGAACTCCAAAACACCCTCTATATGATTGAGCATTGAGAAGACGGGTTTAGGTTTGTCATCCAGATGTTGGTGAACAAAGACTGTGAATAAAGAATCACGAGTCTCGATGAGATTTATCAAATATTTATTAACAGCTCGAACACTGATTTTTATCATATCCTGTTCAGATTTAAGCTCATCAGTTTGTTGTTTCACATGCGACAGTTACACAAAAAGAACTGTTGTTTTCTCTGTTTTGAATTCCAGCTGATCCATAATCTTGTTTTCGATGGCTAAGTCCACATGGAGCTTCTTAATTTTAGAAGAGATGGATGTTTGCAACTCAGCATTATCATCCTGAATCTTAGTGCAAACCTTCAAAAGAGTAGCTTTTCGGTTTGAAGAGTCGTGCGAAGACTCGTAATGACCTTATTCACAACTTTAGTATTTTTGTCTGAGGAACTATGAAAGTCCACCATAAACTCAGTCACATCATTCACTAGTTTTTCGACTTTTTCAGTCGCCTCATGAATAGACGTTTCTTAATTTTCCACAACTTTGGTATAAGCATCGATACTTTTGGCATGCTACTTGGTGAAAGACTCGATTAATGCTTTGACAGACTCGAAGGAGTATTCAGTGCTTGACGAAGTTTTGGAAGACTCAAGCAGAGTACCCAACTTGGCATTTTTTTCATCATAGGAGCGTCATCTTCACCATTCTCTTGTTAAAGATTGAATGGCCTGTAGTGGAAGTCTTGGAAATCATCCCTATCATCACCAAAAACCATATCAGGATCATCATTACGTAAAGGTGAGATTGGGGTAGAGCTAGGACTGATCGTAACACGAAAATCATCAGCCCCCGTATCAGATACGTTGATAGTTACTCGTGGTGAACTCGTGGTTGTGGTGGTTGTTGTGGTGGATTCGATATAAAGGGGAGTGGTGTGGGCAACATATATTTGTGGTTGTGAGACTCCCTCAGTTACATTCGGAAAGGGAGTGATTGTGATAAGTGTGGAAATAGGTGTAGATGTAGTAGTAGGAGATGGTGGAGGAGAAGGAACATAAAAAGTTTCATTTGGTGAAGGAACGTAAGTATGAATCAGAGAAGATACCTTAGTAGTAGTCTGAGTAGGAATGAGCTCTGAGACCATAGGTTGCGAACTGACTCCTTTATCTTCGTTATCAATACAAGCCTGAATATCTTCCGAAACGGTTTGGGCATCTGAGTCCTCCCGAGTGATTGGAGAGGGTGATCTCGCCTTTCGAGCAGCCCTCTTGATTTTCTTTGTCGGAGTGGCAGCAGGTTCAGAAGGACCGGCCTTCACCTTTCGCTTACCTCCCTTTTTAGGCTTGTTCACTTCCCCCAAATCCGTTTGCATCTCAGGTGTTAGAGGACGAGGACCAGATGCAGGTTTCTGTCGATACCCGTTAATAAGATTGTTGTGTATTGGAGTATAGTTGAGTATCACATTTTAAATTCATCCCATAAAAGTGAACTTCGTAGGATCAGACACGATGAAGTTAGAAGTGTGAAATATTGGAATAGCTGTTATGATAGACCCTGCTACCACCGGAACGTTGAGTTAAGTGATGACCCTATGGACGATGATAGACTAGAATCAAGCATAAGAAATCTCCGAGTTCCTTGTTGTGGAAAGAGTGTTCTAAGCTATTTGTACCCAAAGGATTGAACCATAATTGAGGTTGATTCCATGGTATAAGCCGTAGATGATGGTACAAAAAAGCTTACTTGCATTATCTGAGCCCGTGACTCACTTTAAGAAGATTTTGAAGACAAAAGTGAAAAGCCCATTCCACATCAGAGGAAGGTTGGGCTTCTTGAACTTTGATAAAATGACGAGATTTCCCATGTAACCCATCTGGTAAAACATCTCCAAAATTGAAGAGGAAGAGATTGAATCTAGATCAACGAGATCCCTAGCTTGAGAAAACCTTAGCAATCGATTGAATCGGGACTTAGAGATTGAGGTTTTTTGAGAGTCAATCTCAAAAGTAATCACAGAATCATGTTCTTGGTAACTTGTAGTGGAGAAGCATTAGATAGACAAACCAAGGGAACATTCTATGCTATGGTAAGAGTTGGTGCTAACAGAGAGTGACGAAGGCACTCAATCATTACCTATAGAGAGACATCGTATTTGGATGAGTCGAGATCCAAGATGAGATTTTGGTTGGCTTTGATGTTTAGTAGCCCGATGAAGCATTTTGGTCAGCCATAGAGGGAGTTTTAGAAGTAGCGGTCATGGATGCTGATAGAGAAAATGAACAATGTTTGAGAGAAAGAGGGTTTTTCTTGCAGGTGAGTTTGAAAGCTTTAAAAATGGTAAATGAAAATCAAGTGTCAATTTCCCTTTTATACGTCATTATTGGTGAGAGAAATCCAGCGTTTGGCGTTTCAAAATTCCTGAAAAGGTGCCTGAAAAGACGTGACAGTTAGACGTTGGTCATGCGGCGTAACTAATAGGCGTGATGTCAGGGTTTTCAAAAATTCTCGAGCCTAAGGTGAAAGCTTATCCCTTGTAAACCTTTGTTTCATTTTTACATGTTTGTAATTCAGCCTCAATCACCATAACCTGTTCTCGTAATTGAAAGTAATCATTCGGATGTTAGAACCAGAATAGTGGAAAATCACGAAGATTTCTGTGCAAGAGTGTACCAAAGATAAAGAAATAAAACAAAATATATATGGGATTCTGTGATGTTAATTAAAATTAACATAAAAGAAGATGGATCCCGGGCAACGATCTCTTCCTTCGGAGTCAAGAGAGACTCGAAAGTTCTTGCATGGCCTCCCATTGAATTAAGATCATCTATTTGTTGAGAAATAATGAAAGGCTTCTTTTCATTAGGCTTTAATGCGTGGCTTTGCTTCAACCAAACTATGAAACTCAACATAAGTCTGAAAGTATGAAAGAAGTACTTGTCTGTCCAGTGTAACCATAATAACAAGTATGCTTAGGATTTATTTACGTGGATATACAAAATTGAAATCTGAAAAAAATGGAACTATTGAGAAGAAATGTCTTAGGACAAGAGTATTCCTTTTAAGATCTCGCAAAAATAAAAATAATGAGATTTCAAGGTACAAATCACGAGGATTGATTTTCGTCAATTCCATGGCAAAATATCTAGATCTTATTAATTGTTCACCGACAATACATAAATAGGATTCGGATTTTGGGTTTCACTCAAATCGTAGTGATAACAATTTGAAGATCATAAACACAGAATTTGTGAAACCATAAACCCCGGTGGTAATGTCTGAGAGTCTCAGGGGTTACAAATGTGAAAGTGAAGGTGATGGAGAAAAGATAAGGTGGTTCCGAAGATAAAAATGTACCTCTGCTATATTGCGAATGACTAAGCAATCAACTCTTTACTCAATATGAGAAGACTAAGGTAGCTCAATGACTTATATGAATATTAGTCTGGTTGGGAAGAAACATTCGGAGTGAAAGTTTCATTAAGGCTTCAACATATAGTCTCTAGGGACACTTAGCTATGAAAGACCTAGTATGCTCAATAATCATATTAAAGTGATATTGCTAAATAACATATGATACTAATGGGTCACACTAACAACAACATGATACACTTGATTATTTATTAAAAATTGATTTTAATAAATATTCAATAAAACTCATATAATTAAATTGGAAATTATTTGTTTCATGGAAATAATAAATTTCATTAGCAAGTAAGTTAATATATATCATATGGTATGATTCATAAGTCATGTATAAACTTTTGGACTAGTTGAATCCTTTTGTCTTTTTCCTAAAAGACAAAGTTTATATTTTATAAAAGAGTTTATAAAAGTTTGACTTTCTTTCTTCTTCTTTATGCGATTTTCGAGATATGCATAAAAAGAAGAAGTGTATGACTTGTCTAATCATGCTTTAAAGGCATGGGAGACATGCTTATGACAATGGAGACAAGTTTGCTTAAAGTGCTAAGGACTAATGGTTAATAACTTCACTTTATGCATATAAATAAGAGAGCTTGGATTTGGAAAGTGTGCTCATTCCTTCCTTTAGGCATATGGCCTAAAGTTCCTCTTCTTCTCTCATTCTCTCTAGCTTTGCTTTAAAGAATTGGAGATTACTTGCATTTATGCTCTCTTGAAGTTCATACTTTGGTTATGAACTTCAAGCTTTAGAGTTTAAGAGTTTTGGACTAGTATCTACATCAATTTGAGTCATTTTGGTGTCTCAAAGGTTCCACATTCTTCATCAACTTCCAAGCCTCCCAAGAGGACCCAAAGAACTACAAAGGTTGTTATTTATTCACCTCTTCTTTGGTTGGTGTTTAAATCTTTCTATAGCTTGCAACAAGATCCTTGGTGGGTATAAATGTTTATGTTATTTCAAAAATTAAAGTTTTCCTTTGCCATTTTTTTCAAGTTTATGAAACTATTTATGAAGTAAAACCCAACAATTGGTATTAGAGCCATCTTGCAAGTTTGGTTAGATTTTTTGATTTTTGGAAATCTTAGTTTTTGGAGAATATAGTTAACTTGTTTTTGTACAGAAATAAGTTCATACATATTTTCTTTGACAACTTTGTGTTATGTTATATGACAAAAGCTTCATGCATTTTTTGCCATGTAAAATTATCTTAGAAAAACAAAGGTTGTTTGATGTGTATATTGATGTATATGATATGCATAACCTAGCCAATGACCATTGTGTTATTATGTTGTTGTGTTGGTTATTTTTGTTATAAAATGGTTTTAATAATTTATTTATTCATATGGTATGTAATAAATTAAATATATTAGTTTCTTTGATTATTTTTGTAAAGTAACAGATTAGTTTTTAGAAACAATTTATTTGTACAAAGATGTAACAAGAAATGAAGTTTCAACTAGGGGTGAGCATTTGGACCGGTGGACCGGACCGGATCGGTGAACCGGACCGGACCGAACCGAATCGGACCATTTTTTTGGACCCCCGGGCCGGTTCTCGGTTCTAAGATTTCTCTCCGGTCCGGTCCGGTTTTTTCCCGGTTCAGTCCGGTTTTTATCGGGTTTAGAACCGGTTGGACATGATTAAGATTTTTGTGATGTTTTTTTAAACACCTATAACTCATTCATTTTAAGTCGGATTGACTTGCGGTTTTTTCCAATATTTAGTTTACAGTTTGTAGATGAATTTAGACTATAATTTTGTTTATTTTGGTTTATATTCACCGCGTTACAATCCTTCAAAGTAGAGCTATCAAAGTTGAAAAAATTCAGCTTTTCAGCAACATTTTGTAATCTGTGATGTTTTTTAAACATCCATAACTCATTCGTTTTAAGTCGGATTGACCGGAGATTTTTTCCAACATTTAGTTTACAGTTTGTAGATGAGTTTAGACTATAATTTTGTTTATTTTGGTATTATATTCACTGAGTTACAATCATTCAAAGTAGAGCTATCAAAGCTGAAAAAATTCAGCTTTTCAGCAAGATTTTGTAATCGGTGACGTTTTTTAAACACCCATAACTCATTCGCTTTAAGTCGGATTGACCTCTGGTTTTTTTCAACATTTATTTTATAGTTTGTAGATGAATTTAGACTATAATTTTGTTTATTTTGGTATTATATTCACTGATTTACAATCCTTTAAAGTAGAGTTATCAAAGCTGAAATATTTCAGCTTTTTAGTATTATTTTATACTATAATTCTGAGTCCGCGTTTAACACATGTGGTAGAGTTTTAAGTGAAAGTCAGACTAGTTTATTGATATTGATAGTTGAAGCTTTGTTATGCACCCAAAATTGGGTGATAAAGTTTACAAATCCGATAGTTGACAACGTTGATGACATCTTGAACGATGATGATATAGCTTTGGGTAAAAAAAATTACAATCTTTATTCTTTTTTTATAAAATTATTATTATTTATTAAATACTAACAACATTTTCATTTGTGTTTATGTAAAGATTGCACAAGATTTAAATATGTTACATATGGATGACAATGATATGGGGAAGAGACCAATAGAAGATTAGATTATAAGTTTATGAAGTTTATTAGTTTGATTGATTTTAAAGTTTAAACTATGATTTTTATTGTTACGGTAATATTTTTGTATGTTTTTCTTAAAATTGTTTGACTTTTGTTGGTGAACTTGATTTATATGTTAGTTGTTTTTATTTGGAAAATTAATTTTTGCAAATTGCAAGTTATAATATTATACATCAATGTAGATTAGTTAGGCATGAAACGAAAACGTATTAATTTTGCAAGTTATAATATTATACATCAATGTAGATTACTTATTATACTCTATGCAATTAAACTTGTACCGCTCCAAACGGGTCCAAAAACCGGAAAACCCGGACCTGGACCCAGACACAGACACGGACACGGACACGACTCATCCGGTCCGATCCATGGTCCACAAAATTCTCCATAACCGGTTCGGTCCAAGAGCCGGTCCGGTCCAGGCCGGTCCAAATGCTCACCCCTAGTTTCAACCATTTTTGAAGACAAAAGGAAAATTTTCAACTTCAACATGTGTTGGGTAGAACATGACACTTTATGAAAAGTGTCATGAATGCTAATAATGTGCTGAAAAGGTGCTGAACAGAAAGCTGACACTTTCTGAAAAATGTCATGAAAGCTGCAGTTTTTCCTTTAAAGAAGCCTTTCAAATATTTTGCAAGCAATTGGTGTTTACTCAAGTGGGAGCTTCTACAACAACATTACAAGAAGATTTTTGGTCCCCTTAAATTTCCCTTTAAGAATGGACTTGCCATCTTTTGTGTTGGCTCACAAAATGTTATTAGTTGGTTATGTTTATGCACATATCTTTTTATGAATGTTTGTGTTGTTTATTTTATTCAATTATTTTGTGTGGT